CCACAGGACCAGTGATATTATTTAAAAAAAAAAATTTACAATAACATTTACCCCAATAATATTTTGAAACTTCATTAGTTTTCAAGTGTTTCTGAGATGAGGATCTCTTTATAATCGCCCATGAATTTACCACCCAGATCTGCCATCTTAGTTCTTTAGATCCCAGTAAAAATGTTACTTTTGGAAGCTAGGATTCACTGTTTCGGATACAGAGAAGCCAAGAGCTGCATGCCAGTCTGGTGCTCAGTGAGAGAGCTGAGCATTTGCACTGAACTTGCTGCTTTGAGACATGGCTGCAATGGCAGCAACTGTGCCTTAGCCCTGGGAAAGAAATCTGTGCTGATACCAGCGTGGTACGGCTCGAGTGGAGTCTGACAGCACCAGTTGTATACTTTAGGAAAACAAACAACGTCGTGGTAGATTTCAAGCTGCGCTCGGAATTGATACAATATGTCATAATGAATTTTCTGCCAGATTTAAAAGTGATGCAGCAAGATCTTCATCTGCCGTGAAGAAGTGCAGCATCACTGACTGCCTTAGTGCTATCTGTGTAAGTGTACACAGTTGGGGATGGGGCCAGGAGGTTTATACTGCAGAGCAAACAAGCCAGCACTGCACTGAGCAAGTACCAGGTGCTGAAGTTACGCAGAGTAGTAGTGTACCCAAAAAGGAGCTCAGAAAGCAGGCAACCTCCTTTGTGAACCAAGGAGAACAAATTCACTGCTCCTGAAGCAGCAGAATCTAGTGAGAAAGCCCACCACTGCAGTGGGGTTGGAACAGCCCCAGTTATCTTGGAAATGCTTTTCATGTGCTAAGTCAGGTAATTTTGCAAACTTAAAATCTCAAAAATGGCTTACCTTTTGAAAATCCTGCTAGATGAATATTAACTGCCCAGTTTTAAGTAAAGCACTACTTTCAGCTAGTGCCTTGCCATTGGGGCAGCTTGTCCTCTCTGAATGTGGAGGACCTGCCTTTTCAAAGGGAGACTGAGGAAAAGGCACTCTTACACTTTTAAAACCAACCTCTGTGTGCCTGCTGTGCCTCCAGGCCTTCCCAGTGTCTATTCAAAATCTTCAGTTCCTCAGTTTCCCTACTGTCCTTTTAGACAGGCAGAGAATCCTTAGTGGCTTCTTCATCGTTGTCCCTTTAACTGGACTTGATGATCCTTGTGGGTCTCTTCCAGCTTGGAATATTCTGTGCTTGTGTGACAGGCAGGGGCAGGGAAAGGCTGCTGGAGGCACAGGAGCAGCCAGAGCAGCCCTTCACCAAGGATCCCACCAGTGCTGTCCCATGTCTACCCCACCAGTGCAGGCTGGTCTCGTCAGTCCAGCCATGTAAGTCTGTGTTCTGTGTCTGCTCCTCAGAGGAAGAGGAAAGGGACAAGCATTCCCGCTTGGTGGGAAGGGCACCTCAGGACACCAAGAGCCAGGACAAGCTCATACAGCTTCAAAATTGAATGAGGGTTGGGGTGAACCTCAGAGTTATTTTCCCTAGAAGTCTGAGATTTTGGAGAAATAATAAAAGAAGAGTTGTGGAATTATTTTGCCTTGTTTGGACACTATATTGCACTGACATTTATGGGTATGATGTTGCAGTAATCCATTCAATTCAGCCTGTTCATTCATGACCTTTTCTGTAACATTACCCACAATGTTGTGTGCAGTACTGCAGAGAAAAAGGTGAGGGCAAGGATGCCAGCTGACTGCTGTCAGCTTAAGTACAATATAAGATTTGCACTTAAAGTAATGATGGGTGCAAATGCAGAATCAGAAAATGAGCAATTTTCTAAGGAAAAGTTCCATGGTACTGAAACAATGTTTGTTGCTGCCATTTATTTTTTTCAGGTTCCTTTTTCAGGTAGATGATTATTATTCTTCTGTAGATTTACCAAAGCAATTACTTACCCCCATATAAAATAGTTTAACAGTTAAGGTCTTACTTGTTGAATCTTTACATTAAGTAACTTTCTAGTGTAAAAGGGACTCATCACACATGACATTAAAGTGTTGCTAATTGTGACTGGAGGCATTTAAATTCTGAATCCAAGTGAATTATATTAGGTATGTTGCACCGTTTTTACTTCATTCCCCAGTTGGTTTTATAACCAAGTATAACCAATAACATTTGCTTTTCCAGAATAAAATAAATCCTGTACAGGGGATTGACATCACTTTTTTCCCATGGTGCCTTTTAAGTAGTGTTTAAATTTCAAGTAGTCTTGTAGGTTTCGTACAAATTCTCCATGGAAAGTAGATTCTGCTTTCGATATTTTAACTCTTTATATCATATGGCTTTGCAAATCATGGGGTGTCACATCCAGCATGCAAAACATTCAGGTATCTTTACATAATGTGCAGGTGAACTCATTTTGGGATGAAACTTTATTAATTGCATGAAGAATACTGTATTTTAGAGAAACAGAATTGTACAGATGAGCATTCAAATATGTTCCACCAAGGACATCATGATTAACTCTGCTTTACCTTGGTTGAAACCCAGGGCACCTCCCAGTGTGCAGTGGGGACCCAGGAGCATTGATTGCTTCCACCCCAAAAGTCCTCCTTGCAGTGTTTCCAGCTCAGTAATACTTTGCATGTACAGATGGGACTGAAAACACAGAAGTGTCACAGTAACATTAGGATAGTAAAGCAGGTGATTTTAAATGAGATGTGCTGTATTTTGCTGCAGTTTCTGCATCCATATGGGCAGGAAGTCACCCAAAATTGTGGAAGAAGCCACATGTTGGAGATAATTGTCAACAGTCAGTTCCAAAACTAGGATAGGCTGCCCAGGGAGGTGGTGGAATCACTATCCATGGAAGTGTTCAAAAGATATGTGGATGTGGCACCTGGGGATGTGGTTTAGTGTGGAACACAGTGGTGCTGGGTTAACAGCTGGACTCTAACCTTAGAGGTCTTTTCCAGCCCTAATGATTCTACAGTCTGTGAGTCTGTGAAACCAAAGTATGGGCTTAAATATTAAGAGCATTAAGAAGGAGTACAACTTGGGGAAGCAAATTTCTGCAGGTCTTGCAGGTCTCATCTAGAGGTGACTGTCCCGTGAGGAAAGGCTTTCTTTGTGGCCAATTTGGCATCTAGTGCTCAGGTTGCTGTGTGCACACAAAGACATAACTTGTTTTAATGAGGTAACTGTTAAAACTGACTTGTGAACTATTTGGTTTGTGCTTTAAAATGCACAGCCCAGGAGGTGGGCTTCATTTCTGTAGAAGAAGAAAGAGCCATGCTCTTTGGTGCAGATCTTGGAGTAAACCCTCAGCAAGGGAAGACTGAGCCCATCTGGGACATATTTATTTGTATGACAAACAGGCTGGCAGTCAACAAGTGTTTTGTGCATCCATAGTCTTTAAGAATTTCAGCAGTATCAAATCAGTGTATCCTGGCCCCTCCTACAAATCCTGCCCTGATGACAGTGGTGCCAAGGTGCTGTGAGGTGGCCAGGCTGTGCCTGAGCTGCTGCTCTGTGTGCTCATTGAATGGAAGGGCTGGGTTCCACTGGGGGCATGACAGTGGATAGATGCATTGTTGGAGGGCTTAATGCTGCTCTGCAAGTGCATGTGGATTTTCAAGGCAGAAATAGATTTATTTTTTGGCATGTAAAAATATGTCTAAAGAAATATAGATAATCCAGCCCTCACAGCCTTCAGATTTTTTAAAGAACCAGACTGGTCTTCTGAAGGTTGTGCTGGTGGGTTTTTCTCCTGCCTCATCCTTGGAAATGAAGTTATTTCAGTGTACAATGAAAAGAAGTGTTTGAAGACTTACTGACTTAACATAAAATGGAATATTTCATTTTATACATGAAAAGTATCCTCATTCAGAAGAAGCTGAAGCTATTCCACTCTGCTGGAAATAGACTATTTTCTCATGAAAGGGAAGATAAACTAATGTGATACTATGATTACTACAGAAACTAAAATGCTTGCTTCCAGTAGGAAAAAAGTAATAAAATGTATAAGCAGCTGTCTAGCTAGCTAACAGTAGCACTGTTGAATTACCAACAGCTGGCATTTCCTCTAGCTTCAGTCTGTGTTCTTCTGCACCATCAGGGCGTGCCCAGGTCTCTGTCACAGCTGCACGTTGCACAGAAGGGTTTTATTGCACCTTACTGCACAGGGAGCAGTGTGGAAACACAGGGCACCGGGAATATTTCTGTCTGCTCTGGGGTGCCCTGACCCCCAGGGGAGCACTGACTTTGACCCTCATTCATGGAGAAAGTTTCCCAGACTTCAAGGTAGACTAGAATCCACAAAAGTGTGAAATAGAGAGTAGTGTAGGTGTGTCACTTAGGTGAGAAATTTAGGTTTTGGGATTTTTAGTGTGTGGTGGATGGAAGCAACATGGAGGACACAAAGTGTCATCCTAAGTTTCTTCTTCATGCTTCTTCTTCCTCCTTCTTCATAGGTTTGGGTAGCATTCTGTAATTGGGCAGAAAAGTCCACATGGCAGACTTTTAGGGACCAGTTATTGGGTTAAAAGGAAAAATAATCTAGGTGTCAGTTCTTAATTAGATAGTTTAGTCTTAAAAGACCTTGTAATAAGAGATTGTTAGCCATTTTTGTGGTGCTTTTCCAGTGCTCTGAGCCTATTGTAGGCAGCATGCAAAACTTTAGATAAGATAATAATAAACAAGAACCTGAAGACCGAAAAAATCCAATGCGTCTCTCTTTCCTAACACAAAAGGAAGGTCTCCAAGAAGGTCTCACCCAACAGGGGAGTCCCCGGGGGGACCCAGCCTGAGGCCCAGAAATCAGGAAATAGATAGAGCAGGGACAGTCCATACCAGAAACATCCAGCCACTTTGGTAGGCAGGCTCCTTACGTTCTTTGCTGCTTTAATGCCAGTGCACAATGCCCATGTTTGCGTATTGTGCCCAGCGTTACTCACTTTGTAGCAGGTTTTCTGTGCCCAGGACTAGGACCGTGCTAGGCTGGATTGCAGTGTGCTGTCGGTGTCACATAATGAACTCTCTCCTTCTTTCAGGCCCAAACTGCTTTGCAGAAACCCTTGTCATTCCAGCAGGCCGGGAGGTGAAAACTGATGAATGCACTATATGTCACTGTACTTACGAAGAAGGCACTTGGAGGATTGAACGGCAAGCGATGTGCACTAGACACGAATGCAAGCAAATATAGGAAATCTACAAATCTACAGACTTTTCGTGGTTTTTATAAAATATCCCACAGCAGTGATGATCCAGGGAAGTCTGAATGAGAAGATTGTGGCGAGGCGCAAGGAATAAAGTACTGATATTTTGTTTTTCAAAGTAACATAATACTGCAAGGCAAAGAAGTGCATATATTTAAAACATTTGGACATAAGAATACCTGTCTTAAATGTGTTATTTTCACAGTGAGTACACTTAAATACACTATAAAATATTCTATGTATTTCTATAATACCATTATAGAGCTTAAAAATAAATGTTTTATATAGACAATACAGATTGAAGTACTGTAGCATTGCCTCTCCTCTTGTGTACATGCGCCATGGCTAAAACTATACATTTCTGTTCCAGTTTCACTATATGATGATTTTCTTGTGTGTTTTTTGGTTTTGTTTTGGGTTTGGGTTTTTTTGCTGTTGCTTATTTTGAGTTTATTGGGGCAGACAGGAGATAGCACATGACAAAACTTTGGCATTCTCAGTTTTGGAAAAAAAAGGAGAAGAATAGACTTTCAGAGCACATGTGTTCATTTAAGAACATAAATAGGCTGTAATGTAGAGGTGAGTCATATCATATCCATATCTATATCTTAGTTTTACTTGTTCTCCTGTCTCCTGATCCACTGCCAAGATAACTTGGAGCAGTGGGTAATGTGAAACTGGTCTCTCATAGCTGCTGCTAAAAAATTATTCAGATTAATTCAATTCTTAATATTCATTTCAGACATAAAATTTATCAGCAGGACAGATGTCGCTGTGACATAATACAGCATCACCAGTCTGGTGGAAGTGATGGTAAGTAACCACAGAGCAGCACTGATGTGATGCATAATGGATATGGAGAAATGCAATTTGGAAGGGCTACAGCAGTCAGACATGCCTTCACTGGTGTGGCTCCACATTGCTAGCTGTGGGCAGGAGAGCTGGTTAGTAGCTGCACCATTCCCTAGCCATGCTCTTGCCACCTTTTTGGAACCTGGTTCAACATTTTGTTTGGCAGAGAATCCATACACACTCTGTATTGAAGTGAAAGGTTTAAAACTCCGCCTTGGAATCCATCAGAGGATCTCTAGCACATAATCTGACCCTGACTGCATGGGAGGTGAATTACATCTCCCTGCTTCAGCCACCAACAGCCTTTGCTTAAATTCATTTCAGTTTTAGTTTAGTTTGTCACCAAATCCAACAATATGTCTGCTTTGGATACCTGTTAAGGCAGTAACTTAAGAAATATGGATTTACTTTTAAGCTTTTGCTGGAGGGAAGATTTGATGAATAAATGTCTGAAACCAGAAGATTATTGCTTAAATTCCCACTTACTCTTTGCTAATTTCTCCTATGGTGTAACCTGGTTAGCACCTTTGCATCCATACAAAGTATGACTTTCTGCTGCTTTTGAACACTAAGGAACTTTTGCCAGTGACTTCAGTGGATCCCAGTTATCACCTCATGTCCTTATTTTGAGCATATTCCTATCACTGTGCATTATTTGGGAGTAAAGGATGTATGTTTTGTCTAAAACTTGTGATAAAGTATACCAATCCAGTCAGTAGTTGTATGATAGAGATCTGGCTCCTAAGCCAGTCAGACCCATGCCTCATGGCTTTTGGGCTTCTGCTTACTGAAATCAATTGTCAGCACAGCTCGAGAGAATGCCAGTGGTCTTCCATGAATGACTTCTCAGGACAAGTGGAAGTACCCATGTAGGAAGCAGCCATGAAACTTGAGCAGAGAAGGTGAACTTGCAACTCAGAGTGGCATTGCCTTTCCAAGTATGCTGCTTGGTGACTCTAAGAGATAAGTGTTTTCAGTGAACTGTGAGATACTCACAGTTGGTGTCTTTCAATGTATGGCCAAAATGAGTAAGTTTTTGGAATTCTTACCTCAGACTAGTCACACTTTGCTCCTCTACTGAAGGTTCTTGTTAAGCCTTAAGACCATTTCTGAGGTGAATTTCTGTTCTTTTACGCAGATCTCTTTGTTGAAGTGGTGAGTACAAAGTAAAAGGCTTAGTTTCTAGTGTAGCTTTTATAAATATTTTCTATTGCACATTTTTTCAAAAATATTTTTCTGTCTTTCAGTCCTGGTACCAACATACTAATGTAATTTTTTACTGTAGTAACAGGATGGTCCTTTCGATTACATGTGAAACTTCCCAGACATGTTCATCTTGACATCCAGCACTGTGAGTGGTTTCTTAAAGAGGTTATATTTTGAGTTATAGAAGGGGTTTTTTTTGAGAAGCAAACTTCAGATATTTTTAGATTGTTTTTTCTTTTTATTGAGTGATGTAGAAGTTATACTGAGTTTTTCACCTTCTTTATGCTTAGATCACTGGCAACATCCAACTTTGGCCTGTAGTATTACCACATGAGAGCTCTTTGGCTGTCCCTGAGATGGGGAAATGGGCTGACTCTTTCTAAGCAGATCTCACCAGTCTTGCCCAGTTGCCACACAGTGTGCTGTGGGATAACCCCAGTAGGGAGCTAAGCACCACATGGCCATTCACTCCCCCACTGCCCACCCGAGTGGAATGGTGGAAAAGAAAGGAAGAGTAAAAGCAGGAGAACTCATAGGTCAAGGTGAAAATAACTCAATAAAGAGAGAAAGGAGGGAAGAAAGAAGCAACAAAAAAAGCATGGCAATTGCATTCACTCACCACCTCCCATGGGCAGGCCAGTGGCCTGAGTAAAAGACAGCCTCAACCTCAGTCTCCCTCATTGTACAGCTGAGCAGAGCACTATATGGCATGGAACACCTCTTTGGTTACTTAGCTGAGGTCACCTGCTGGTTGTGAGCCCTCCCAAGCCCTAACACACCCCATTCTACTCACAGGGGACCAGTGAGAAGCAAAGACCTTGGCACTGTGCATACCTTGTTCAGTAATAGCCAAAACTCCCGTGTGTTTCAGAATCCCTTTGGTCACAAGCCCTACTGCCTATTAGGGAGAGTAACTCCAGCCCAGCATGTGGTGATTCCACCACCAACCCCATACAGGCACGGAGGCAAACACACCAAAAGTCCCCAAAGGCCACACTCCAACCAGTGACTGCACCAAGCAGCACATGGGCCTTTGGCAGCTGAGTTGGGGAGCTGAGATTTGCAGCCTGATGTCACTTCACACAGACAGGTTTAAAATTTTCTTGTTATTGGAGTTGATAATGGAAAGAGGAAAAGTAAAATATTTAAAGTTAGCCATTATGGAATGCATTTGGGAACCATTTGCCTTTAAACTAATTTAATCTCAAGGCAGTAAAATAACAACCGCAGAACTGCTGTGGTGGCCACATGTACTAATCTAAATGTCATGCTTTAGTTATGTAATATACCTGTTCATGTGTAACCTTAAAAAATAAGAGAAAAGTCATCTGCATAATTTCCAGTGAACTAAACTCCAGAGAATATTGTCTTCCCTACTGAAGCCTAGATACTCAGCTGGTTTTTGCTTCAGTGCAAAGAGGATTATGCATCCTGCACATGAGGAGTTCTTCAGCTTTGCAGGTGGGTTGTGTCTATTAAAGCTGTATTTCCAGACACACTAATAACTCATGAATAATTTTGTTTTTGAAGGCATGTTGCTTGGATAATGAATATTCTTCTCAGATGTTCTCTTGTAGCTGCATTGGCATGAATATGAGATTTCTGCTTCTGCTTCACCTGCTGCTGCTTATTTCCCAGTTGAAATCAAGACAATTCATTTCTGTAGGAGTGCGTTATACATTAATTTTTCTTCCAACCTGTGTAAGCAGGTGCCTGAAGAGATTACATTCTAGATGGTTTCAGGTAATTATAAAATTCACAGTTAGTGTGCAGTAGTATTCTCTATACTACTCATTTAAGCCACAAAAATGGAAGAGCTGATAGTCAAATATTATGTGAGATTTAAAAGGCCAAAGGAGAAAAAGAGAAAGTATGAAAGACAGATGAGCTGGGCATTGCAATAGGAATGTCCAACAAAAAAAAAAAAAAAAGAAAAACATATTTTCAAAGAATATGATAAGAAAAGTAAATGAGAAAAGTATTTGGGCACAAACTGAAATAAAAAACTTTCTAGTTGGCAGTGAAAAAAAAAAATCACTCGGTAAAGGTGAATGAATACTGGAGGATGCTGCTCAGAGATGTTTTGGAGTCTCCATCTTTGAGGATGCCCAAATTCCAACTGGGGGGCACAGCCCTGAGCAGCCTGCTATAGCTGAACTTGCATTCAGCAAGGTATTGGTTGGGATGCTCTCCAGAGGTGCAAAATTAAAAACCAGGTTCTAATGATATTGAATTAAAGTCTTTAATACACACAAGAAAGAAAAAGATACAATGAAAGGTTCCCTCACTTTGGAAAACAGCTGTTCTGTTTCCCTATGGGGAACTGTACTGTCCTGCTTGTAAAGTATTTGATGTTACTTTTGACAGTAGCTTTAATACCAAAGTTATCATAGCTCCATGATACATAGAAGGTTTTTAAAGGCACACATAATTTAAGAATCTAATGTAATCCAATTAAATGCTCCATTTATTTCCTTTATCAGGCAATGAGTTTTCTTCACAGCCTGTGTTAACATGGGTTTTCTCTCTGCAAAAATACAACTTCAAGCTGCATTAAAAACCAAACTCAAACTGGAGAGACAGCACTGAATATTACAGACTATTTTCCTGACTATCCAATAATTCAAAACTTTCATCATTTTTTGGTTAAGGTAAGTACTACTTTAGAATGTACATGACTTGTTCTGTTTTGACAGCCACTCCTTCCCAGATTTCTCTTTCCTTTGAAAATATATTTAGGCTCAACCACACTGAAAATGAAAATGTGTAGTCTCTTGAAATGTCACATTAAATAACTTCCATAGCAGACAAAAACTAAACATAATCTAGTGTGTAAGTTATTTATTTATTTATTTATTTATTTAATATGCCTGTAAAAGAAATACAGGAAAACTCCAGACGACTGTGTCATTCAGTTACAGGGAAGTGGAAATAATGATACAGAATATTAAATTATCAGTAATAGGAAAAATTATTTTCTCGGCTAAATCAGCATAAAACAAGAGTTTTTCAGAAGCCCAGGTTAACACTGTTAAAACTGAGATAATAGAAATAATAGAAATAATAGAAATATAAGATAATAATAGAAATAATAAGGTCTCTGTACTTGACTACAGTCAGTGAATGAGAGGGAACATTCAAAAATCCTGGTGTAAAGTGCCTTTGTTCATAGTAGGCAGAATTAAAGACAAGCCTTTGTTTATAATCATTTACTTTGCTTTTTCCAGTAAGTCCTAAAGGTTATCCAAACCTT